AGTAAATTAATAAAACATATCTACAAAGTATATGCTTATAAGACTACCAATTTTATTATGAATATTTATTGTAATTTAGATGCAAATAAAACAAAAATGACAATGCTATGATTTGTTGGACACACCATACCTTCCAAGTTATTGTAACCAAGATATAATAATTGAAGCTTAGTCATTTATAGTCACAGGGGCACATGCATGAGTTAAAGCACAAAATGTCTAATTCTATTGAAAAATTACACATTACTATACTAATGTGAATTTGTAATAAAATGAAAATTTTCACTTGCCCTAAACTTATAGTCATAATGCATTCCACATCATCATTATAGAGATGATCTTTCCAAGATCCCCCCCCAAAGGCTGGCTATCTGGAGTGAAAAGATACTTGTAACATGTATGTTTTAACTACCACTAGGTAAAATAATATGAAAAATATTCACTCAAACCACTAAATTTACAGTGATAGCCTTTATTGTAATAATATAAAACATACTCCCACCGATTCTTAAAGATATTTCCAACATGTTCATATATTTTAAGAAAATACTGTTACATTTTCGCTTTTTTAAAAAATAAAAAGATTCCAGTATTATCCTTTCTAAATAAAGGAATGATTCTAGAACAAAAACAAATAAAGTTTTTGAGAAATAATCCTCCTTGGGCTTATGTCTCGAACCCAGTCCAACAGCCTAAGATTCTTCGATGACCCAACATATATATGGTATCAAAAGTAAGTCGCTCAGTAGTTTATTTTATGTCTGTTTTTGTATTGTGTGACAGTAAGACCTAATAGTTTGAGAAACTAAAAAATTGTTTTTGGGGTGCCAACTTTTAGAAAGAGAGAGATAAGTAGGTGTTTAACGCAAAGGTGGGACTGGGAGAGATCATAAAATGGCCCATTCCAAGACAAAACTTATATGACATTATAATTTTTAGTATATAAGATCATAATTTTAAAATTTCCAAGATCTAACTTTCTTGTTGGGAAAATTAGTTTTCTGGTCCTTCAACTTTTAATTCAGTTATGACTCGGTCTCCTAAGTTTAACTTGCTGTGGCTTAGTCTCTCAAGTTTGCAATCAAAATAGTATTTGATATGATTGATTTTAGGGTCTGTTTGGATTAGAAATTGCAAAATTGAAGTTAGAATAAATTGAGTGACAGAAGTTAGGATCGGAATCACTGACGTTAACTAATTTGCATGCATATAATTAATTATTATCATCAATTATAATATTCTCCCTTTTATAAATATTACAATAAAATGTATCAAAATAATTATTTCCATATATTTTGAATAAAAGGCACCAAAAATAATAAAAGTGGTAGAACCAAAATAAATATTTTAAAATTTTCCCATGGTATTGACTCCTTCCCATCACAGCTGAAGAAAACGAATCATAGAGATCAAAATTGAGAAGAGGGGAATAGACAAAAGGGCAAAGAGAGAGGAGTAAATCCAACTCATTGCAAAAAATTACTTAATTCAATTATTGCTTTCATCCCAATCTATAAGACACCTTTTGAGGTTTGGCATTCCAAAATATAATACACTTTGGGGAAAAAAAGGTTCCATTGCTAATGCTTTTCAATATTATCTTCTAATATATTCTCTCTTTTTAATATTCTTTCACAAATGGAGTATTAATGAATGACATTTTTAAAAGTTTATATTTTTGTCCTAAAAATTTAAGGTTGTAAGGTGTATTTTATGAGCTTATTTGATATGTGCGATCTTATCTAAAAATTTCTTATATATTGGGATGGAGGTAGTAGTACTTTTTTTTATAACAAGTGTATTTGTGTAGCTAGGTTGCTTTTCACAGAGGGGTTGGATTATAATTTTTTTTATTTTCAGTTTGAGCAGTATCCCTTAAATGATTGCCATTTTATTTAAAATAAAATTCAAGGAATCATAATTCAAAACTCATGGCTTCTAAGAGATGTTATCAAATGTAACTCCATATATACATTCATCACATACAAGCACACATTAACATACATGTGGGGAACTTTAGTTGGGTTTAATTTATTTTGGAAATCCCATAAAAAACAACTGTTTTGGTGGTGTATCAGGATTCTCTAAAATTATTTTGGTGGTGTTGAATTATTTTTTTTCCGTATTTCAAGTGGTTAGTGAGAAAAGAGAGAATGAAGCCTTGAAATTTGTTGCTTTAGTTTTTTCAATTGCGTGGAATATTTAACAGGTACTTCCTATGTAATTCATTCAAAGGCATATAGCTTTAATAAATAATTAATTCACCTACTAACGAGGGCTAGGTCTAGTGGAAGTGGCTAGTATCTCACAGTGTGGCAAACTAAAGTTTGAATTCCCACTGGTGAGATTCTTACATTTAGTACCCAACTGTGCCTTAAAATATGATTGCCTCTAATAGGAGGATATCTATCTACCTAATTTACTTGCATGTAAGACACAAGAGAAAGTATAGCTTATTAGAGAGGTAAGCATTTCTAAGTGGACAACTCATTTACCCACATTTCAACTGAAATTAGAATAATGCTGTCTGGAAATGATATTGAACTTAGTAATAAATAATAAATTTTAGATATTCCACGTTATTATACCGTATTATTTATTTCACTTTTTAAAACTAACTTTCCACAGGAAAATAGTTCTTCTCTCTTTGTGAGTTGAGAGGGGGGAAGAGAGAGTACTCTTGGCAAGTCTAAAGGGCTCTAAACTGGTTTTGTGAACTAAAGCTAAATAATTATTCTTGCATAAAAACAAAAAATTAACTCGCATTCATATTATCTTTTGTTGGCCAATATATAAATTTATTTTATAAGCCTTTAATATGGTATTAACGTTGAATCCACTTTCATTAATAATAACAGGTGACACATCTAGAAAAGGTGATCCGTAGCCCAAAAAAAAAAAAAAAACTTAAGAATGACTCAAGGAGCAACGGATTAAATTTTCTTTTTAAAATGAACATGTTTAAGTACCACTTAATTTGTCTCAATCGATGCGTTGAAATTGTTTGAACAATATGACAATAACACGTTATGATATATTTGTTTCATAAGATAAATATATCATAATATGCACTTATAATATCTTCGATGCTGAGGCAAGATAAATTAAAAACATGTAATTAAGTATATAATTTTCACATTTGTAAGATGATTATTTTTTAGAGTCTCTCCCACAATATTTCTACCTATATGGCAATAAATGTGGCTCAAGTAGATTTGAGGTTGAGGGGACAATATTCCAAAGCAATCATCTATAATCCTATCATAAATTTTAGCAAATCAATCAATATAATATATTTGTTTGACACAAAGTATTTAGCTTTGATAAATTGAGAGTATTCAAGAATATTTATTGTGTATGGTTCAAAATTTTATTGACACTTACAACAATAAAAAATAGAAATCCTAAAAATTCTCAAAATTGGATTCCCAAATGAGAAGACGTGCTCAAGTGGGCATTACTATGATTGAAAATGACTAAAGACTTATTTTGATGCATAAATAATTATTGGAACAAGAATTTTCATGAATAAAAAACTTGAAAGAAAAAAGGTGAAAGTGAAAATGAAAATTAAAAGTTGCTCGTTAGAACATCATAATTTGAAGAAAAATGAACTTAGATGCTCCATGAGAGAAGACATCACATGGAACCACCAGTGTCATCAAATTTAACAACAACTAAAGTCATGAAATTGTAATGTAGAGTTATCAAAATTGTCTGCGATGATATCCAATAAACCATGTGAAAAGGGGAAAAAAGTGTGGTTGTACCACTCCGCACTTTTTTCCTGAACCTCTTCAATAAATTTATATAGAATGAACATGAACTAAAGAATTAATCTCATACAAAATGATTATATAGAAACAAAGTTTTATGCACTACACTGATATATAATGATAGCGTTTATTGATGTATTAAAATTTAAATTGGTAAAATGGAGTTCTATATTTTTTATTTTTTAACTATTTTTTTACCATTTAAATGGAATAAGTGAGATAAAGGCTTTATATTTTATTAATGATGTTGATATTAATATTGTCACTCAATAAGTACATGTCAACTCTAATATATTAAGTAATTGCATTTTTACCAGAAAGTCAATGTTATTCGTGAGATTAGGAAAAAAAAAATTTGGTGGAAAATTTATAATTGTATTTGTCAGAAAAGGACAGCTCTGCATCCACTTTTCTCTCTACCCTTTGTGGGGTGTGTGTGTTGGTATGCCTCGCATGCCCATTCCTTCATATTCATGGCTTCTCTTTTTCATATATTATTAGTAAAATACCACATTATAAGTTTTTAACTAAAAAGGCTAGAAACTAATAGCCTCAGGTTGCAAGCTAGATTGAATCTACCACCTTCGACTTATAGGAAAGCTGACTTGCCACTAGACTATAAGGCCATTGGCACCACTTTAAGATTTTACTTTGTAAAATCTTATTTGGTTTTTAGTTCCTCTAATTCAATCCTAAAAATTATATTTCTTTTACTTATTTTATTTAAAAATTAATTTTTTTATTGTTTTTTGGCTACTCACATGTATACTTCTATTGGAGGCTATCATATTCGAGGCACTGTTGGGCACCTCTCCCACCATTAATTTAAAATATATATATATATATATTAAGAGGGACCATGAAAAAATTTGACGTGAAAAAAATAATAGGAAGAAGAATATCAAATACTTTCAACTCCAAGTGGAGCTTTCTAAGAAATTTATTGTGTTATGGTTCATAAACTCCAGATAAAAGGTACAAAATCTAAGAAAAACAGTGTAGTTGTTTATGAAAAATGTGAAAGTAACGCATTATGAGTTGTTGGAAGTATGGTTAAACTTTCAGTGTTAGTTAAAATCAAAATTACATTGACGCTTGCAATTAAAGAAAAGTATAAATCACTAAAAATCTTCATTGGATGTCAACATAATATATATAATTTTTTTTTTCAAAAGAAAAACATAGATATGATGGAACGTTTGTTGCTCCATAAATATAGCTTTTCTAGGTCAGGAAGGCCACATCCAAATCTGATGTAAGGTTACCTGATAAAGAATTATTTTGAAGTGCCAACACTCGCAAAGTTGATATTTTAAGAATTTCCAACGGAATAGATCCCCTCAATTTGTTATTGCCCAACGCAAGCCGCTCAAGCATATAAAGATTGCCTATTTGTGCAGGTATTGTACCTGAAAGCAAAAGTATTGTTTTAGGTTTAGGTAAAGTTAGTTTAAGTTAATACTAAAATTAAGAAAAAAGAAAATATAAATATGTATTAATTAGACAAATAAATGATACTCACCTTAATGTTGGGTCAACAATATGATCCAACTGAATTTTAGGTTTGCTTCATAGATTAACATGTCATGGTTTTTTATATTTGTTTTTCAATCCCAAAACATATATAAAGTGCGGTTAAAATATAGTTTTTAAAATAAAAATATTTTTTTCCTTTTTCAAGTTCACCAAACAAATATAGTTTTAAAAAAAAATTGTAATGACAGGCCTACATCTTCTGTTAGTTTTAAATGCAATGTTGCTCATACTAATATTGCATAGAAAAGCATACGAAAAGCAATGCATGTGCAGAAATAATAGCTTGCACATCATAATTTGAAGAAATTGGAATTTATTTGTATCAACATAAGCGCATAATTAAGTTTCCAATGCCTCTTGGTATATCACAAAAGAATTAACAATTAAAGACAAACAGTTTTGAATATATAGTTAATGAAAATGTAGTTTTAAATATAGTTAATCAAGGCCATTGCTCAGCTAGACATCATCTTTCGAGTTGATAATTTTTTATTTAATTTAAAAAATCCTCCGCTTCTTATTAAATATTTCATGGAATGTGCTTACAAAAATATGACGTTTGTAATTGTTCACAACAAATGTGAAAAAAAAATTAGTCATATAATTATAATTTGTTGATTATTGTTAAAATTTTCGAAATAAAAATATAACCCATGACACATGGAAGTGGATCCCCTCTACAGTGCCAATTGCAAGCAATTTTTTCTTTTTTCTTTTTTCTTATTTGGTTCTATATGCATTCAACGTTACACACTCTTAATACGATGCCACAAGCTACGTGCACCAAGAAAAAAATAATAAAACAAAACGGATCATAGAAAATGGATACTTTTCCTCTATAATATACAAGTTGAAAGCTAAAGTAATTTTTTTAATACTATACTTATTTATTTCAACACTTAATGATCGAACAATAAGGGAAAATGGCTTTTTTGGTTATGTATATAGTCTTTAATCTTTCAATATATATTTTATTGAGCACGTAGATGCAAAAATATTTAAGACTGAACGGTGATGGTCCACACAGGTTCTTCACAAATATTTTATTTTACTTCACATGATGTATATCATATTGGAAAGATAAGGCGTAGTTATACTGACAATGCATAAAAACCAACGGAAAATGTTTGTTTGAGAATGCAGATAGATAACTACTTTCCAAAAAATGAAAAAGTTATAGTTGTTTTGTGTCGAACATTACTAAAAGATTCAAGAAAATATTGAAGGACTTAAAAAATGTCGAGGAATCTCAGTGAAATAGATAGAATAATATTGAAGAATAAAAGAGTGTATAAAGGCTTGCGGAATAATATATTTGAATTATATAAAACTCCAAGTAAAATATATAAGAGTTTAAAAATATATATAAATTATATAAAACTTGGATGAGTCACACCTATTTTATAGGATTTAAATAACGAAAGTTGGATATTTTATAGATTTGTAATCTAGTATCTAGTTATATTAATTTTTTCAAACTGCATTTGCACTATAATATTTTTAATATTGGGTATGAAAAGAGAAAAATGGTGCAGTCGCGGGTTAAAATGAACTATGGTGTTAAACTGCATTTAAACTATGATATTTTCTAAGCCTTTTGATATAGCCAAAAGGCTTAATAAGATTAAGAAATTTCAAAACAAACAGTTCCTTGTGACATCGCCGGTTTTTTTTTTTTTTGAGGAATATCATGCATCTTGCAATATAGCAACAAAACAAAATGTACTAACAACAAAAAAATATAGGCTTTCTTATGCATAAAATATTTTATCAAACGGAAAATGAAGAGCACTTATTATTTGTTCTTTTGGCCAAGAGTACTCAATATTTGTTGAAAGCATACCTTCCATGTTATTTTGGAAAAGATCCAACTGTTCTAGCATTGTCAAGTTTTCGAAGCTCCTTGGAATATTTCCTGCAACATAACAGTTAGAAAAAATATATTCCAAATGAGATTCGAAGCATAAAAAAAATGTATCAGGATTCTCTAATGTTATTTTCGTGGTGTTGAATTTTTTTTTTGTTTTTATTTCAAGTGGGAAGTGACAAAAAGAGAGAATGAAGCCTTAAAATTTGGGTAATAAATTTCACTTAATTTTTTTTTTCAAATGCAAAGGACGTTTAACTGCCACTTCCCATGTAATTCGTAGAAATGATTGTGAAGAACCTGTGTCACACTTGCATTTTTTAGTAGGATTTATATGTTGAAAGAACAATATTCTATAAATGTGCAACTTAGTATCTATCATGTATATTATATGAAAAATATCCATTATCTATTTATTTTTTGCCATCTGTTTAGTTATATTAGTTAAACTGCATTTATACTATGATAATATACTAAGATTGTGTGAGATAGAATATGTATAGAAAGGATGAGAACATGGTTCACGTTTTAATCGTCAAATTTAATTTAGAAAGCTTCTTATGTATACAAGCTTCAGTTGTCCATTTCACACATCACAATCTGCTGTGAACTATCTTTGGAATAAGGAACAAACAAAAATGAGCTAAAAAAATGTAATTAATGTTGGTTTTGTTGCTACACAAAAAATATGTGAACTTGAAAATTTGTTTATAGCAATTATATATAATTCAGTAAACTGTTAAAACTTATCTACAAAGCATAGGTTTGTAAGATTGCATATTTTATTAGGAATATTTCTTGAAATTTAGATGCAAACAAAACAAACATAACAATGCTATGATTTGTTGAATATACCATACCTTCCAAGTTATTGTAATGGAGATATAAAAAGTGAAGCTTACTCAAGTTGCCAATGCCTTTTGGTATATGGCCTGAAAGAAGATGGACATTTATAGTCATAAGGGACACATGCTTGAGTTACAGCACAAATTGTCTAATTCTATTGAAAAATCAAACATTGTTCACTTTACAAATGTGGATGTATAATAAAATGATGATGCATAAAATAATTGAAAATTTTCTTTTTCCCTAAACCTGTATTCGTAATGCATTTCACATCATCATTTTACAAATGATCTTTCTTAGAATCCCCCGACTACTACTAGTTAAAATAATGTGAAAAAAATTCACTCAAACCACTAAATTTATAGTGATAGCCTTTAATGTAATAATAAAAATCATTCTCCCACCAATTCTTAAAGATATTTCCAACATTTTCACATATTTAAGAAACATTTTCACATATTTTAATAAAATACTATTACATCGTTAACTTTGTTAAAAGTCCAAAGATTGTAGTTTTGTCACTTTTAATTAATGGAATGATTCTTTAACAAAGAAATAATTTTTAAAGAAATAATCCTCATTGGGCTTGTGTCTCTATCCCAGTCGAGCAGCCTAATATTATACCATGACCTCACATGTGGTATCCAAGGTACCATCTAAGCTCATATTTTTATAATTTTCAAACATCTCCAAAATTTCATTATAAATATCTTCTTTTATATGATGAAGGAAAAAAAATCAGAAATATAGTTCTTTTGGAGGATGCAAAGAAAACCATTTTAAATAAAACGATACTAACAAATATATACACTATTGAGTTGTTGATTTTTTTTTTGAAAAAACATTAAATAAAATGGGGTAAATGAATGTTGCACAAGAGCATGAAGTAGCATGCGTATTTATTGGTTGAATTCACGATGAGAGAGCATACTGTCAACAACTCTTAATTTTGAAATCTCAATTATGACTAATTTCTTCAAGAATATTTATCGGCGTTATGATTCAATGAAAAGTTTTTAACAATAGAAATCAAAACTTACAAAACATATATGAACAAATTTAGAATTGTTAACTATAACTATAATACAAAAAATGGGTGAAAATAGTGTATTATATATATATAATATTGTAAAAAATACGAATAAAATGTTAATTGTTTTTACATTCTTCACATAGTTTTTTTATTACTCACGAATATTTTCCTATTAAATGCAATCATGTTTGATATATGGTCAAATTCTTTACAAAGTTTTTTTATATTGAAGTACTTTTGTAAAGTTAATGTATTATATTTTTTTATGTTGCATTTTTAAGTTTTACATTATTATACATCATCAGTTATCTAATAATATTTCTCTCAAATCATAAAATAACTTTTTTAAAATATTGATAATAAAAATTAAAAATGAAATTCAAATACCATAGTTGATGCATACATCTATATATTAACAAAAAAAATTCTCCAACCCATCTTTGATTTTAATTGCTGCACTAGTTTAAATGAACATCGCCTGAAAATGTGGTTACTTTTGAAAATGTTTTTTCCACCCTATCCATAAAATTCTTGCGTGCGAAGAGTTGTCAATTGGACATGGTCAGAATGATAAGGACTATTGGGGGATAGAGAGTAAATTTTAACTCAGGGAACCGAAAAATACAAGCTTGGAAGCCCATAATTAATATTTAATTTTAATTAATTTACACCTATGCGTCATGTTTGATTTACTGCCACACACTAATCAATCTATACAGCCCACAAACCTACAACTTTTTGTACATTAGTTAATCATAAGATCCAAAGGTGGTTCCTCTTAAACATTAGTCGCCATCCAATCAGAAGCTCGTAATTCTGTGCCTTACACCTTTTTATGCATCTCAGTTAAAATTACAATTATGTTTATAGTCAATAAGAAAAAACACAGAATTCACCTAAAAATTTACATTCAATACATGTTTCTCCATTTCCGTTGACTTTTCATAGAACTCTCATTTTATGTTGTGTTTGGATTAACAAGAATTTAGATTTGGATCAAATTCTTTATTTAGACATAAAAAAATTTGTGGATCCAAATCTATGTTTTTTATATTTCCTTTGTAATTTCAAATTTCCTCTACATCCTAGTCATTTGAAATTTCAGCCACTTCTAACATATTGTTCTTTTTGTGTTTTCACTATTGATGTCTGTCTCTATGACTCTCATATCTTTCTTTTTTTTAATCTGTCATTTGATTTTTTTTTAAACTACTCAAACTAAGGATTTTAAATACATGAGTTTTAAATGAGAGATTTGAAATGCAAGATTTTAAATCTAAAATTTATATTCAAATCCATCAATCCAAACATTATCATTATTCTTTAGTGGAGCTTCCCTTCACTCCTATTATATATCTATTTGCTTTATATCTGTGTGTGTGTGTGTGTGTGTGTGTTCTTTTTGAATAATGAACAAAATTGGGCAAATGAAGGTTGAGCGAGAGATTGCAATTAATAGCTTATCCTAAGATGCACTAACACCAACACAACATTGTTTGAGATGACTTGGAGCAAATATAAATTTATCTGATATTATGAAAGGCATACCTTTTAAGGAGTTTAATGACAAAGACATCAGCTCAAGTGACGATAAGCCAGAAATAGTTGGAGGTATATTTCCTGAAAGATTGTTCCCTGCTATATGTAAAATCTTTAAATGTTGAAGCCTTCCTATCTCAAGTGGAATACATCCATGGATGAAATTCTTAGTCCAATCCAAGGTCTCTAATTTTGACAAATTTGATACGCTTGGAGGAATAACACCCTGAAAACTATTATATCGAAAGATTGGGTGTTGAAGAGAAAATAAACTTCCAATCCAAGCTGGAATTTTCCCATCAAAGTCATTATAGCTAAGGTTGAGAATTTTCATCTTGTGTAGCTGCAGCAGCTCCTTCGGTAACTCACCATGAAAGCTGTTATTATGAAGGTCAAGTTCCCCACTTGTGACTGTAAGGTGCCCATGAGACTCATGTGAGCAAGATTCAATACACTAATTCTCTCACCTTCAGAATCAAAAGTAACCCCAACCCAATTGCAAATGGAGGAAGAGTTAGACCAATTAGCCAAGTGGTTGAATGGGTCTCTCACAGAAATTTTGAGAGCAAGAAGTGCCAATTCATCATTTTTGGTGAAATTGGTGTGACATAAAGTTGGACAGACCATGAGATAGCAAAGCAGTGAGAACATGGAGAAGGAAAAATGAAACCAAAGGTTTGCCATCATGAATTGGTTCAAGGCCTCTAACATTGAAGTGGATAGTCAAGAAGGTCATGCTATATATATATATATTGATAAGCTAGCACTGGTCTTCAATAATAACTTAAATAATAATAAAAGTGGAATTAATTGTGAATCTAATGAAAGTATTCATATTTATGGCTAGAAAAGAAGTGCACTATTCAAATTCAGTCCAATAATTAAATGTAATCTTTTTTAGTAGAGAGTACAATTAAAAGTGAAATACTAAGAGAGATCCTATTCATGGAATGAAAGTAGGTCCATGCAATTAGAGCCAAACAGAAGGGAGCCAATAAATTTTTCTGATTAAAACAAATGACCTAAATTTTTCTTTTTATATTTAATTGCAGGATTAAATAGGAAATTTTATTATAAAATTCACCTATATTTCTCATTCTATAAATTTTCTAAAAAACGGAATAAAAGGAATCAGAAATTGAGAGAACATAAAGAATAAAATGAATAATAAATTACAGAAATATTTTTATGTAAGATTGGAATTATTCTGCCCCTTTCTCAACGCTAAAGATATTCAAGTTGACTTGATTATTAAAGCGTTGGTATAGAAAAATAAGAGGAAATTCCTTTTCTAGGGCTACATCAATGATATGGAAAATGTCTAGGAAATTTCATCAATTATAGAACCTCAATATATTTTGATATAATAAAGAAAAATGCCAAAATAATATATCTATATATGCATTATCTATTAAAAATCTAATTATTTTGGTGAAATAATAAACTAATTAAGTTAACTTTATCAAATTGCTGCCAACCAAACACACACAACGCCATTTCTTATTCTTATTTCCTAGAAATTTCTTTATTCCAAACAAGAAATTAAAACACATAAATTGTAATTCTTTACACGTTAATTTTCTTTTGACAGGGTCAAGAAAGAAAGCACTAGTTTCGTTGGCAAAAAAGAAAAGAAAGGACTTGTTTCATTTCACCTCTACCAAGAATTTATTGGATGGATTTATTGTTATGTAATGTGTCTCTAATGAAGGCCATGCCCCATGTGCGTATGAAGGACGTTGGCAAGAGATGTCCTCTCTGCAAAGATGTGATGACAAATCACTATCACAGCTTATTGCATTTACTGGCTCCACATACATGGATCTTTAAAATTACCTAATTGCCCCCGGGTTTGTTTTTCTTTTGTGGGAAAATATATAGTTTCATTAGCAAAAGCCAAAAATTATAGAGACGATTCATAAATCCTTTGTCTCTTCTATTATATCAATAAATTGTGAAAAGACGTGGCAACAACTAGATACACAAAATTTCAACAATAATGGTTATTTATTATTATTATCATAAATAATCCTCATTATTATTTTAAAGTACAAATAAGCTTCACATGTAGATTTCTCCCAACTAAATTACTATATTTATAATTAACTCTAGATGAGAGCTCTTGCCATTTATGCTAACTTTATATGGCATTAATATTATTGATAAATAGTAATTTGAAGTAGAGTTTGTTAAAAAGTAACCTATAAGTATTTAGAGTTATATTTGTGAGCATTGCTTAAACCATAAAACAAGCTCTAAAATTGGAGAACTTCAATAATCCAATTTACTTAAATTTCTGTTTAAAAATGGTAATATAAATGCATCAGTAATCATTTTCATTTTATTTTTATTTATTGGTATATGCGAAATAATATTTATTTTTCTCCAATAATAAAAAAAATACAATCATAAACACAAGTTCTTAAAACTTTACTACCCTTATCTTATTTATATGTGTTTTACAAAAATAAAAAGTAATTTTGATTATAAGGTAAGGAAAAAAAGATGAAATAATCGTCTAAATTTCCACTTTAACTTGAAAAATCATTTGATGACTCATTATCTTCCTCTAATTATTAACATTGTGCTACTCTATTTACGTCATGGATCTATAAGCGGACTATGAGCAGATGATAGGGAAAGTGGCAAGATTAATTTTTTAAAAAGACAGGGACATTTTTCTCTTTTTCAAAACAAACAATCTCCTTGATTTTGCCATTTTTTCGTAGAATAAGTATTTGAGTTTTCACTAGATTAACAAAAACACGGACATGATTAGAAAAATAAACTGTCACCATTCATGACTTATTTTTCTTTCCATAGCTGCAATAATGAGGGGAGAGAAGACAAGACCTTATATCAATATGCATGCATCGAACCGAATTTCATATAAAATGACAGAAAATTTATTTTTAATAAAGATATTTTTTCCTCACGATTATTTCATGAAGTGTTTAGTATTTTAAACTATTTGTAATGAAATTTCTTCTTTTAACATTTAAAAACATTTTAATGTTGTCCATACTATTAACAAACATAATATACCGGTTACACTCCCTCCATTTTTGCATATTGATCTTTAAAAGTTCTTACATACAGATTAAAAAAAAATGTAATACACACATAAAAATATGACATACTTTATAAAATTTTCCTCTCATTTAATTGCATTGGAATAGGTAGAATTTTTAATTATATTAAATAAACCAGTAAAATTGTTGGATTAAATGAAGATAAAATAAAAAATTATTTTATTATATTGCTTTCAAATTCAAAAAGGAATTATAATATGCCATACAATTTTTACTATAGCAAGGCCAATATAATAGAATAGAAGGACAACTGGCTACTTACTATTTTATTCATTTTTACAGGATTTTATGATGACAAAAATTAATATTTTGTGGTGATTTTTATTGAAGGAATTTTTCTTGAAATTTTACATTTACTTTTCTTCATTTATAAAAATCATATTTTTAAATACTTGAACTCGATGATAATGTACTAACTGTTATATTTCTAACATCGAATCTAGTATCTTAGATCACAAAATAATCTCCATTGTTGTGTCTTTTTTTTTTCACCCAAGATATGAGTACGTACAAGAGCTGACCTGACCAAAAAAATGTGAACACTAATTAAAAAGATGGACTATTACTATTAATGGCTTCTTGGCTTCAGTAACAGGTTGAGAAGAGCCAAGACTTTTATTATTGTGCCGTTCTCTCTACATGCGTGATCTTGATGTTCAGAATTCAATGACTGAAATATACATAAATTATTTTTATTAGTCTACTATTATTGTGTCATTTTCTCTAGGCATACGAATTGACTCCAACTTTGAAATTATGCATAAGCATAGAAAAATAAGACAACCATTATGACATTATTTAGAATTTTACTCCTCCATTATATTTGTAAGACATTTGGAGAAGGGGTTTTATAGTCTCTTTTATAAAAATATACATAAATTGTTTTATCATCATCAAAATAAATGCACATTTTGATTACTAATAACAGACAGCAATTGTAGTAAAAGAATTGAAGAATGACATGTTGGCTTGATGGTTTGTGGTTAGAACAAAATTTTAGGAAAATAACATGTTGGCTCTCATCATTTATATCTTGAACAAATTATTTTTAAATATAGATCATTTAACCTCTAATAGAATCTAAGACAATTTTAATTTCCGTGATTGATCAGAAATTGACCAACTTAAGAAATTTTTTATTTATTTTAAATTTATTACTTTATTGGTTATCATTCAGTTGAAGTAATTGTTAATTATTATATTATAATATTAAAAAATGTTAATTATGGAAACATATCAATAAATTTCTTTTCTTCATTATCATATTTGATAGCAGTTATAAATTATTATTACATTTATTTCAATACGAGTGATGGCATTTGACTTATTTTCACAATGCATGTGACTTATTTTTCTCTTCGGCTTCAATAATGACATAGTCCATATTAACATAATCTCAACTATTTTAATTACTATAAATCAAATGGTTACGTGGAGGTCAACAAATTAAGGTGATCTAGCCAATAAAGACTTAGTCCATTTTCTATGAGAATATAAATTCAAATACCAGTAGCATTCGTAAGTATCAGAATTTTGCAAGCAAGCTGTAAAAAATTGTAACTATCATTTGTAAATATTCTTTTGAACCATAAAACATGTTCTAAACTTGATGAATTCTTATAATCTAATTAACTTAATTTTTTATAAAAAATATATTATAGATGCTTCAATAATGATTTTTAATTTATTTTTTATTAATTTATATGTGGAATAATATTTACTTTTTTCTTATAATAAAATACAATCATAAATGAATATACTTAGAAATATAATATGGACATAGCGAAGACTCTATTATTAATTATCATGCCGTATTCTCTTCACGTCATGGGTATAATAAGTTGACTTTGACTTGGAAATAAAAGAGTACGCATAAAATGATATGAAATTCTTTTTTTCTTTTGACCCCAGCAATAATTCACGAGTGTTGTTCATAGGGAAAAAAAAAAGACATGGCGATTTTTTCCTTGCCAAATAAAGAATATACTTCACTGTGTCATTTTTTTTAGCATAAATATTTGAGGGTACACTTGATTAATAATAAAAACATGGACAAAAGTCAAAAGATGACATGTCACAATCCAAGACTTATTTTTCACTCCATGAAACCATGACTACATAATAAGAAGACAAGACGACATCATATAAGGTGTTTTTTTTTTTAAAAAAAAAATCATATAAGGCATTTTTAAAGATATCATATTGAAGAATATAAAAAATTTTGGTATTTTGTAAAAGTAATTAACAATATTTTTTAAAAAATGTTCCAATGAATATTTGTATTAATGAGACTTTTATATTTATTATCTATCAAATTATCCTATTAAATAAAAATAGACATAACAAGAGTATATAATTTTTAATTATATTAATTTTTTTAATAAAAGTTGGTTAAAATATCTTAAAAGTTTGAAAGAAAGATATACACCTTTATAGCCTCATTTACAAGTCTGGGAGAATAATTTTTTTAGTCATAATAACGGATGCAATTAATTTCTTAACATATGTTTTTTTTTCCAATTAAACATTAGTGAG